GTTAATTAGCCTTTAATTGTTCTTTAAGCACTTCACTGTGCTCAGGTTTTGTCTCCAGAGCTTGTTTGGTGTTCCTGGACATGGTAATGATATATATGGGCCAGCTCAGTCCTGGGAGCTCCCTGCCAAGGAGCCATCGCTTCTACTCCCTCCGCTGGCTGCCTGCTTGACATCTGCTTCTCCGCTCTGTGTCCTCACGCCTCTCTCAGCCAGCCTCCACCCCTAACAACCATCCACCCTTTTTGAAACCTCATTCCTTTTTTCCAGAGTAGCCCAGCATCTGCCTGACTAACCCTCTAAATGCATCATATGCTGAATGCACGCCAGGTGTTTGTATGGCACTTTAATAGCAAAAAAATAGGAGAGAAAATGACTTGGAAACTAGTCCAATAATAGGAGCTTGAATAAATGATGAATTGCAGTGCCACCAAAGATTATACAAAATATGAATTTTCAGAGACATGGCATCCAAGGTTAAGTGAAACAAACAGAGTGCAATATGCCTTATAACATGAGCTATGGCATCTTGTTTTTGTAAAAGCCTGATGAGCATATACTGAAATACCAGCAGTGATTATCTGAACTTGGTGAGATTATTGTTGATTTGCTTTTGTTGTTACAATTTCACATATTAAAAAAAAACATGTGACAAGCATGTATTACTTTTGTAACTGGAGAAAAAAGGTTTAAAAAGATGAATTGAGATGTTAAAGTCACATAATGGCTTTTTTGCATCAATCTGACTTTGTAATAGGGACTTTCTATTTCAGACAAGTAGTTTATAGAGGTAAGTTCTGCAGTAGAGCCAGGAGGGGGACCTATTGGGAAAATATAGTTCTTTAAAGAGGAGGCCTCTGAGGGCGGTCAGCCCAATCAGCCAGCTGTGGAGAGGAACATCCCAGCAGTCTGTCTGTGCCCTTCCATGGCCCAGGATCCTTGTGGCTCCCTGCTGAGCCAGCTGGAGAAGTGAGACCCTTTATGAACTTCCCTCAGGTGCTAGATACTGGTGGGGCCTCTGGTTGGCCTCAGATGGCCACTGACGGCTTCCTTTCTGCCGTCCTCACAGGTGCTTAACCTTTGATTATACTTACCCTGGCTGGGTAAGCAGAGTTAATTGAGTATTATTCATTCACCAAAAAGTAGAATAATGGTATAAATGAATGGCTCTTCTTGACCAGGGACTTGTGCTTGGTTTTGCATAGTTAACTAAAGTAAATAGTTTGCAAATAGCCAACCTGCCTGATCATTAATAGTAATGCTGTCACATAGCCAGACCGCATATTATAGCCAACAGCAGAAGAGCTCCCTCCATAATAAGGGTGTGTGTGTAGGCCAGTCAGGATGCTTTCAGCTGCAAATAATGAATGTCTAATTAAAACTGGATGAAATAGTAGGAGTTTGTTACATAACAAGAAGTCTGGGTGCTTGATGATGCCAGAGTTGGACTTGTCAATCACCCAGACTCTTTCCATTTTTCTGCTCTGCCATCCTTAAGATCTCTAGGAGCATTGTCCATGTCCCCCCTCCCCCATACTCCTAAGTTGACTGCCACAGTCCCAGGAATCCTGTCCTTACATAATAACTTCCCAAGGAGAAGACACAAAAAAGGCCTTCTCCTTACTCACTTCTCTCTACCCAGAGATGAAACCTTCTTCTCAGAGGCTGTCAATGGACTTATTTTTCAGTGACCCAAACTGGGCTACACAGCTACCTCTAAACAATTCACAGGCAAACTTCAGCCCAGGAACCAGGCACATTGTCCTGAAACAAAACTGAGGCTGTGTTAGAAAGGAGAATGGGAATGGTTTAGGAAGACAGTGCCTTTTGTGGCATTGAAACAGTCTACTTGTCAGAAAAAAATGGTATTGCCCTCATCACAAGCAATAATGATGCTTAGCATCAGCTCCTTCCTTTTGATCAATCTTCTGAGCATCCCACCTCAATTGCACTTGGTTTGCAAATCCCCAGAAATCTAGAGAACAGGGAAACTCTTTACCCTGATCAGTCATTGAATGTTTTACACTAAAGGCAGATACCTACCTCCAGACACATAAGGACATGTGTGACTTTTTTCTGTTCCCTGAGCAGTCCCTGGTATATAAACTCTTTGAGGGTAGGGCTTGTTCCTACATGTTCACTGGTGCACCTCAGGATCTTTTGCCCTGTGTGGCACAAGATAATTGCTCATTAATAGTGGTGTGCAGGGTGTGGTGGTCCACACCTGTATTCTTAGCACTAGAGGCCAGAAGATGGTGGATTTAAGGCCAGTGTGGGCTCCAATGTAAACATGTATTATTTATTTATTTATTTATTTATTTATTTATTTATTTATTTTAACTTTTACAAAAACTTTATTGAGAATTTCATACATGTATATAAGGTGTTTTGATCAAATCCACGCCCACTCCCCTCCAACATTGTCCCCTCTGAAGAGGTAACCCTAAAATCTTCTAAGCAAGCTCCCAAATACTTTTGACATTTTTGGCCTTTGGAACAGAATATGTTGCTAGCAGGCCCAAGGACATTTTGACTTTTAGCCAAGAAACTGGTTACATTTCTTTGGGGTCTTTTTACCCTAACTGCCTAGCCAATTCCTACCTCCTATTCTTATCACACCATCCTCTGAAGAGGTTACCCA